AAAAGGACATCATTTTTGGGTGTTAGTTCTAGAAAGTCTTGTAGGTCTTCATAGAACCATTCAGCTTCAGCTTCTTCAGCATTACTGGTTGGGGCATAGACTTGGATTACCGTGATATTGAATGGTTTGCCTTGGAAACAAACAGAGATCATTCTGTTGTTTTTGAGATTGCATCCAATCAGAATCAAAACTACACAGAACACTAGAAATCTAAAGATTTACATTTAAAGTGGATTATACTGAAATTATTTTATAGTAACTGGGAAAACTTAACCTGATTGGTCATCACTAATATGATCATTGAAGAATGGAAAGAACAAAGGGGTTGTTAATCAGAGGTCTATTTCAAAGCATCTTCCAAAACTCATTAGGGAAAACAATAATAATAACTAGATTAGTTAATCATTAGAACACTCTTTTATTGTTTATATTTTGTGTTATATCACAAGTGCTTTGAGGGCAGGTACAGTATGTATTTTGCTATGAGGGATTCAAAATGTCCAGTGAAATATAAGCACATACTAGGAACCACTAAACATTCCAGAATGGATAACTCCATGAGTCAAAATAGTGAACAAGAAATACTGAGGTCACACTGTGTAGGGCTTTCTACTAAAAGAAGTAGTTGCTTCTTTTACTTAATGTCAATGTTGTACAAGATAATTAATATAGTTTTCTATTGTTTTTAATAGCAATATACTCCTGCATTAAACAGAATCTTAATGATTTTGAGAATTATGTATGTTAAGGACATTTTATTATCTTGTGTTACAAAATTTTAATTATTATCTTGTATTACAAAATTTTGACCACTTTATTATTTTTGGCCCCTTATCTTATTTATATATTTCTTTATAGATGTTATTAAATCTTAAGCTGTAATTTTAAACTCTTTAATTTAATAATTCCTGATTTTTTTAACATGTTTGGAAAGACTTTCTCCTCTACAAGATTATAAAAATACCTCCACACACACACACACACACACAGAATTTAGTACTGGATAGCTTATCATAGATTGGGACAACTTTCTCAGAGAAATTAATAGCTCTTTATTAACCAATCTGTTGGTCTATTTTACTATGTCAGTGAAGTGAAGTTCTGTCTATTTGCCAACTCTGAACATAAAACTGTAGTCTCATACTCAGTAACTGGTTTTGACAGTGGTGGCAGAACAGAAGCCATCCAAAAATAAAGTTATCCAAAACATGAAAAGTTTTATTAGCCTTTGATCAAGATACATACCTCTAGGTACAGATGAAATGAATATTTATAATTTTATTAGATTCAATTGCTTCAGGCTATAAACTTCATTGCTGAGTTTCAACTTTAATTTTTATGGCCTGAGAGAGATGCATTTGAATATATCATCCTTGAATAAAAACATTAACACCTTCAATTCCATGCTACTGTTCTCTATATATTAAATAACAGAAAAATAAAAATTCATATAACAAAACCTATTATCCTACTTTTTAATTAAAATGATCCTTTTCATATAATACAGTTTAGTAATTAAGTCAATTTCCATAATCTATTGCCTATTTCTTTATAGATCATACATTTGAACCTAATTTGCCTTTAAAATACTCCTTTGTCAATTTCATACTTACTGATGGCAGCTTTCTACATGGGGACATGGGCATCTCTGAACATGCCTCATTTCTCCTGTTGGGTGCTGGAGGCACTGAGGGCATGGCGTTGTGTGTGATGTGCTTGTTTTGAGCATATCTGTCCTTTGGGCTGGGAAAAGAGTGCACACAGACTTCTCCACAGTGGAGGAGGGGTCAGATCTGGGTGCAGATAGGACAGTCATTCCACCCACAGCTTGCACCCACTTGACAGAAAGGCAGCTATGAGGCTTGCACTCCCTTTGACACTGAAGTGAAAGTGTCAGTTGCTCAGTCGTGTCTGACTCTGTGACTCCAGGACTATAGCCATGGAACTCTCCAGGCAAGAATACTGGAGTGGGTAAGCATTCCTTTCTCCAGGGGATTTTCCCGACCCAGGGATCGACCCGAGGTTTCCCACATTGCAGGCAGATTCTCTACCAGCGGAGCTGCCAGTGAAGCCCCTTGCATACATTTTAGGTGGTCGATTACTTACTTTTCTCAAACCAAGGATCAGCAGGGCCAGAGAGTAGAGCTCAAAATCAGATAAAAAGGGAGCAAATTGTTCTCCATTTGGATATTAAAAACAATTATATGTTAGGCTGACAACCAAAGATAGGGTTTTATCTCCCTGTTCTCTAAAACTGAAGGTGATCTTTGAGCTTTTAGGAATTTCATAATCTCTATTTAAACATATACTGTTATTCTCATGGGCGAAAGTTGAGAGAGCAGTTATTCTTTTGAATTGTTTTTCAAACTCTTTTTTTCTTTTTTTTGGTCTGTTTTTGTTTGCTTTCCCTTTCTTTTAAAATTATGCCACTATTTTTTTTTAATTTTTTTTTTTATTAGTTGGAGGCTAATTACTTTACATCATTACAGTGGTTTTTGTTATACATTGAAATGAATTAGCCATGGATTTACATGTATTCCCCATCCCAGTCCCCCCTCCCACCTCCCTCTCCACCCGATCCCTCTGGGTCTTCCCAGTG